CGGCGACAGTAGTGAAAAGGTCAGCAGCAGAGGTAGCCGCTACCCGTTTATGTACAAGTCAGCTGTCCGCGATTCGTGCTAGCTCGACTCCGAAGGGATGGTACGGTAACCCTAATTTCGATGCGCTTCATAAGTAGAAGAATCAGTGCGGTGCATTGCGGCTTATATTTCTTCCGATTCGGTTTCGCTTGCTGCATCAACAATATTAATAAGTTCCGTCAACACTGTACACCTGTCACCACCGCGCTGAACTCCACCAACCCCACGACAAGCTTTTGCTCAGGGCGACGTCAGGTTGTACAACCTTCTGTCCGTCTACTGCGGTTGACATTGTTTCAGCACGGTGCAGAGCGGTACAAGCCAAGAAACGCTTTTCACCGTGCTGGAACGTTCTGAACCACAATACAAGAACTGTAAACACGTGAGAAATGTATAACCTGAGGGCGAAGTCAGGTTGTACAACTTTTTGTACGCTCACTGCGGTTAACTTTGTTTCAACACGGTGCAGAGCGGTAAATGTCGAGAACTGTTTTTCACCGTGCTAGACCGTTTTGGACCACGTTACAAGAACTGTTAACCCATGCGAAATGTATAACCTGACCTCGCCCTGACTTCGCCCTCATCCGTGCACGGGGTCGGAACCGAATGTAAACGATCTAAACCTGAAATTACCCACGCTAGCACACATCATCATCAGACCACTGAAATATGGAGTTTGTCCCACCGAGTAGAATGCTTGCTTCCAAATGATAGTGCTTCCAAGTTCCGATCACATTTATGTGCATGGAGTGGGCTAATTTTCCTGACGGAAACTCGGACGGATTTAGTCATATCTCACTGCTGGGCTTAGTATGCTAGCCTATAGGAAACATTCGTGCCGCGTCGCAGCGCTTCGGGACACGTGTTCTCGGCCAGAGAACGGCGCCACGAAGCATTGCGGATCAATCATATTAGTCGAATATCGCTCCGTAACAAGTATCGCTCCATAGTCTCTTCCGTGTTCGCCATGGCCCCGCGATTTGCGCTCCTTTTCTTGCTCCTCTCCCTCCTGCCGCTCGTGCTCCCGCATCCCATCCGCCTCCCCTCCGCGCCTTGCGCAGCGCGGGTCGCCGCGCGGAGCCTCGAGGGCCGCGGGGCGCACCGCGTGCTGCGCACGTCGCTCCACGTGGCATGCCGCGCCGATGTGTTCCGTCCAAATCATCCAGGCGGTGCGCGCGTAGCGTGCAGAAAAGCGCCCGTTACTAGAACGGGGAGCCGCGGTTACCATGGGAATGAGGGAGAGACGGAAGGAGGGAGAACGAACGATGGAGAGGAGGAGCGGCCGACAGATGGGTGCAGAGTGGTTCCAGAGCTCAGTAGCTGCACTGCTGCTGGTGAATGCGTGGAAAGCAGTGGAGCAGCAGGGAGGACACGTTTCACAATACGTTTGGAGCAACCTGTGCCACGTGGGCTGTACGCCGATCCGTTTGAGCTGGAGCGAATCGTGCGACCAGGTGAGGGGGGCGCTTGAGATTGTAAAGGAAAAGGGGGGGGGGAGAATGGGGGGGGGGGGCACGTGAGGCAGGGGAAATGCGCAGTGAGCAGAACGCAGTGAGTCCAGTTGAGAGGTGGAGCGGATTCTGAGAGCAGGTGAGGTGAGGTGAGGTGAGGTGAGCGGGGGCGGGGGAGGCAAAGGGGGCAAGCAGTGAGTACAAAAGAGGCATGTTCAGGCGGTTCTTCAAAGGGGCCTCTCAAATTTGGCTGACAGCCAGTGAAGGCCAAGGGGGGTTGCGGCGAAGTGGGTGGGGGGAAGGGCGCACATTGAGGAGGGGGGGGTGCGCAGTGAGGAAGGGACATGCGCAGTGAAAGGGGGAAGAGTGTGCAGTGAGGGCGTGGGGCGCACTGGGATAGTGACCGCCAGTAATCATGGTTCTGTTGCTGCTGATACGGCTTTTTCTTTCAACCCCTCCCTTCTGCCTCGTCTCTCGCCTCTCCTGCCCTCCTCCCTCCTTTCCCCGCTCCCCTTCCTCCCGTCCACTTCCAAACCAGAGGGCGACCGAGCCTGGATGGTAGGTCCGGTGGAGCTGGAGCAGCCTGCAGCACGGTGTGAAGCAACCGTGGCCGTGATGGAGAGGGACGTGGCAGTGGGGGAGGGGAAGGGGGAAGTGGGCGTGCGTGAGGGGGAAGACGAAGTCTCATTCTCAGTGGAGTTCAGCCTGCCTCTGCACTCCCGTTACCCGGTAACCATTCTGCATTCTGTCACCCTTTCCTCTTCTCAACTATCTTCATATTGCCCACATCAACTTATCCCTTTATGCAGCATGTCTTGTTGCCTATTGCAACCCTTGTTACATTGTAACCATCTGGACCGCCATTCACACACCCAGTTACCAGTCTAACTTCCACCCGGCAACCTGATACCACTCTCCCTTCCACGCTTTTAAAACAGAAGCTGTCAAACTTATCCTGTTCAGATTGTTTTCCCAATGGTTCCTTTCCGCATCCCTCGTTCTCAACCCCTCACTGCCTCTGCTACCGCCAATCCTCATCCACCACCTTCCCTTCTCCCCGTCCCTTCCCCCATCAGGCTGTGCTGCCAGCTCTCTCCCCGCCACTCTCCCCTCTCTCCCTCCTCCGCTCCACCGCTCACTCGCTTCCCTGGAACCACTCCTCGCTCTCCTCTCTCTCCTCTCTCATCTCTCCCTCTGCCCTCTCCTCTCTCGCGCTGGCCATCACCGGCAGCTGCAGCCAATCACACGCTGCGGTTCATGTGCCCTTGCCTTCTGATTGCCTCGTGCTGCCTCCTCCCCCGACCTGCGCGGGACCATCCGCCCTGCACCCATCACCACCATCATTCTCAGCACCACCATCGCCATCAGCATCAGCATCAGCATCAGCAGCAGCATCTGAATCATCATCCCCACCATCCTCAGAACCAGATTCGCCCTCATCAGCATCAGAAGTACCATTGCCATCACAGTCAGCAATGTGTGATGCCATCACTACCCCCCGCTGTGAGTGCCTTCCCATGCAGCTCACCTGGCCATCAGAAACAGCAGCTGCAGATGGGGAAACGGACAAGTCGGCAGGAGCAGCAGGGCTGGGAGGAGACTCGGAGGGAACGGAAGCATCAGTAGCAGCAGCAGCAGAGAAAACGCACGAGGAGAGAAGGTTGAAGGGGGAGGGAGGGGCGTTGGTATGGGAGGTGCCAGCAGGGTGTGCTGGCCACACGCCCCTGGTGCTGTGGGGAACGTCCCTAGCTGCTGCTGTGGGGGCTCTGGTGCTTGCTGCCGTGGCTGCTGCTGCTCCCGTGCACACAGGAAGCACCAAGGCCAGGACTTAAAAGGCATGAAATTGTGCGATTGCAAGTGTTGATGTGGCTGAAACTCAACTGCTTGGGTAAACACAAGGAGAAAGGAGTGCCTGAAGCTACAGGAATCAGAGGACTTGTTGTGGTCGCTGCTGCTTCTGCTCCAAGTGCTGGCATTTTTTTATTGCATTACCGTACCTTTAGCACATGGGTATGGTTATGGTGTATCAGAAATTTCTTTCATACAATCAACCTCTAGCTTGCTCTTGCTTAAGTTTCATCAACCACTGTCCTGACTCTTAACCATTAATGTATTGAAACGGTATAAATGAGCTTAACACAAGATGGGGTGAAACTAGGGTACTATTACCCGCTCACAGAACTGTATTTTAGCCTGAAGCTGAACTGTGCAATGATTCTTCAAACATGTTCAGACACTATCAACTTCATTGACTCTCAGCAACTCAATACGCGGCAGATTTTCCAGCCGCAAAGTCCTCAATATTCACGCCTCGTTCTTTAAGGCGCCTCAAAAATCCTATCAGCAACTCAATACGCGGCAGATTTCCAGCCGCAAAGCCCTCATTTTTCACGCCTCGTTCTTTAAGGCGCCTCAAAAATCCTCTCAGCAACTCGATACGCGGCAGATTTCCAGCCGCAAAGCCCTCATTTTTCACGCCTCGTCGAGAGCTGCGACACCAGGGAGAACCTTACCCTCCAACAGCTCCAATGACGCGCCGCCACCTGTCGAAATATGGCTCATCTTGTCAGCCAACCCTACTTTTTCCACTGCTGCCACACTGTCGCCACCTCCAATGATTGTTGTGGCACCCCTTTCAGTCGCCTCTGCGAGCTGCAGGGCCATAGACTACAAATCACACCAAGGGATCAACGAGGGGAATCAAAGAATGCATTCGGTGACGTGTGTTGGACAAGACTACTGATGATGAGATGCCACGGGATGGGATGTAAGAACAGCGAGAAGGATGAGGCAAGGGCAGGTCAGAGGCTTGAGGCTTGTATTTTTGGGTAAGATGCCAAGATAATATCTGCCACGTGCCCAATGGTCCAATGGACCATCACACTATCCACGAGCATGTGAACACGGTAAGTGGTTACTTACCACGACAGCACGACAGCACCCATGTGTGTACGCCTTACCCTGCAGCACCACTCACATAGGTTCCCTCGGCAAAGGCTCGGAATTCAAAGACACCCATGGGGCCGTTCCAAATGATGGTATTGGCGCGACTGATGATATTGGAGTAGACTCTAATGGTGTCCGGGCCGATGTCCATCCCCATCCAGCCGTCCTCGATTTCGTCGTCCGACACCACCTAAGGTGAGGAGTAGAGAGAGAGAGAGAGAGAGAGAGAGAGAGAGAGAGAGAGAGAGAGAGAGAGAGAGAGAGAGAGAGAGAGAGAGAGAGAGAGAGAGAGGGGGGGGGGGTGGGGGGGGGGAGGGAAGGGACTGACTCGAAGGTTGGTCCCTGCATTCACCTGGAACCAATGACAAGCCCTCATGCTGTCAGGGGCTGCTTTCAAAGCCCCATTTGGGATGGCACCCATGCGTACACCGCCTAGAATTGAGTAGAGTGTATATGGACGGCAGGCGATAATGGTGTTTAGACATAATCGTTATTCTATAGATAGCGCGAAAGGGGTATGCGCCGCGGTTCAGGTTTCGTTTAACCTTACACTCGTCGAACTAACTACCAAGCTTGGAGGGGAAGGGGGAGGGGAATTCGAGGGGATTTGGAGGAGAGTTGGAGAGGGAGGGGGAGGGGGAGGGGGGAGGGGGAGGGGAGGGGGAGGGGGAGGAGGGGAGGGGAGGGGGGGGGAGGGGGCGGGGGAGGGGGGGGGGAGGGGGGGGGGGGGAAGAGGAGTGGAGGGGGAGGGGGGGAGTGGAAGGGGAGTGGGAAGGGGGGGGGATGGGGAGGGGGAAGGGGAGGGGGAAGGGGAGGGGGAGGGGGAGGGGGGGGGAGGGGGAGGAGGGAGAGGGAGAGCGAGGAGGAGGCGGCGACGGAGGAGGCGGAGGAGGAGGGAGGGGGGGGGGAGGGGAGTGGGAGGGGGAAGAGGAGTGGAAGGGGGAGGGGGGAGTGGGGGAAGGGGAGTGGGAGGGGGGGGGGGGGATGGGGGAGGGGGAAGGGGAGGGGGAAGGGGAGGGGGGGAGGGGGAAGGGGGAGGGAGAGGGAGGAGGAGGGAAGAGGAGGAGGAGGAGGAGGAGGAGGAGGAGGAGGAGGAGGAGGAGGAGGAGGAGGAGGAGGAGGAGGCGGAGGAGGAGGAGGAGGAGCAGCAGCAGCAGCAGCAGCAGCAGCAGCAGCAGCAGAAGAAGTAGAAGAAGGGGCAGGAGCGCAGCAGCCCCTTGTTATCTCCCTTTGTCTGCTCATCTTATCAATCCACGCCTCCTGAGGTGATTCGCAAACGTTAAGGTACAGTAAAACCTGCAAAACAACTTTCATCGTAACGCCATTATTCCCAATCCCAGCCCCTGCAGTCAAAGCCCTGACCTTGTGATTCGCATTCCTGTCGAATGCATCCGCAACTACAAGTCCAAAGGAAGGGCAGCTTGACGCGCTTCTCGGCCAGCCTGAGGAGGTTGCCTGCCAGCTCCCACCTTATCGTCCTTCACCAGCGAGTTACCGACTGACTTGCCCTGCGCCTTGTAGAACGTGAAGATCATGCCGCCACCCAGCAGCAGTTCATCGCACCTGGACGGAGGGAGGGGAGGAAGAAAGGGACGGGGGAGACCGGGGGGGAGGAACCATGGGGGGGTACTTAGAATCCGAGTTCAAGCCCTGCGCTGCGCCTAGTAGAATGTGACGATCATGCCGCCAGCCAGGAGCAGCGTGCATCCATCGCGGGGCGGAAGAGAGGGGGATAGAGGGAGGGAACGGTGGGGTACTCAGTTCAGAGTTCACGCCCTGGAAACCGGAACTTACTCGTCTAGCAGGGACCCCAGCCTGGATCCGCCAACGATCTGGATCAGCCGTCCGGAATTTCGTACAGTCATCCTGACAGGAAAAACCTCCAGGCGAGTAGCAACATGTAACTTACTTGTCAAGAAGAGCCTCCAACACGCCGATTTGGTAGACACTTTGGATCCACCCACGATCGCCACAAGCGGCCGACTGGGCTCAGCGATGGCTTCAACCAAGTAATCCAGCTCCTGAGAAGCACAATAACGAGTACACGGAACGAACGGTGGCAGTTTGTGCGAGAGAATTGGGAAGATATAAACATAATCACCTTCTTATAAAAATATGGTGATGTTATGATAGGGAATTATGTGCGAATGATCACAAAAAATACGAGGATCACAAATAAATCTCGGTTCACAGAGAACCTGACCATATACAAAGGCATATCAGTCGCCACAGGTAGGCAACTAAAGCATTGCAAGACGTTTAAACACTTGGATCCACCATAAGAAGAAGGAACATATGAAGTCAACCTTCTGGAATAGATTTCCAGCAACCGATGGCTTCAAGATAAACATGCACGTTTGCAATACAATGGAGCAGTTAAAAACTTTCTCGAGGGGGCTTGCTTGGGGCGCGCGGGGAACGAATCAAGCGGGGGAAATTGACGAAGCGTACCTTCTGAAGGAGGAAATCAGCGATGGACAACTTCTAAAGTGCATGCTCTACAAGGGTAACTCCGAATTCGACGCCAGCCGCGTGCAGGAAGAGAAAAAACTGCGAGACAGGCAAAGCGTACCTTCTGAACTGAAGGAGGAGTCCTGCAACGGACGGCTTGAGGACAACTTGGTGACGCCGTCCGTGGAGGCGTTGCGCGCGGTGCGCCGTTCCGAACGCGTCGTTGACGTACAGGTCCGCGTTCGCCGCGAGCTTCTGCGCGAAATCGAGGTCGTTCTGCTCCTCCTCGGGGTGGAACCGCACGTTCTCTAGCAGCAGCACCTGCCCCTCTTCTAGCTCCGCGACAGCCTTCTCGACCTCCTCGCGATTCAGTCGTCGACCTTCTTCACCTGCACTTAGCGCACGGGGACAGGGAAAAAAAAAAAAAAGATATTTGAATATGTTGAGTTTATGCAGTTGGAGGAGAAGGAAACAGGTCATGTTGCAAATGCTGCGCGTGAAAATATGTTACGGCATTTGCGCTACTGTGTTGGATGGTTTGCATGGAATGCAGGGGGCTATCAGACAACAAAAATAGAACGATCAGCACTGACCTCCTGGCCTAGACGCCTTGAGAGCCGAAGGAACGAGAGGTGTCAGGCGGGTACTCCTCGGTGACACCGTTGGGACGGCCCTGGCACAACACAGATACGGAAGAGAATGCGGCGGAAACGACTTAAGATCCAAGCGTGAAAAACATAGCCCAAGAACCAGTTGAACCTACCAAGAGAAAAACAAATATAGGGCTATGATATATGGCATGGATCTGCGTAAATCTGAATAGACGTGCATTCGTTTCGCAAATGGCTTCAACGTGCATTCTTTCGCACAAGGTTTTGATGAATGGCTTCCTAAGACTCACCAAGTGGGTAGCAAAGAAGGACCTTAGCACCCCTCTCCACCAGGTAATTGATGGTGGGAATGGCAGCTCGAATGCGCGTGTCTTCTCCAATCTCACCGTCGACAAGAGGAACGTTCAGATCAGCCCTGAGAAGCACCCTCTTTCCCTTAAGGTCAGCCTCGGTAAGCGATATA